AAGCCTTACAGTTCGTTAATGAATGTGCTGTCTTCATTTCTTTGGTTATGGTCTTTCCCTCATCCCAGTTAGCCATTGAAAATGTTGACAAATAGACCGCCTTGTCTTCTTTGTTTCTCCAGGAAGAAATCTTTTCGTCGATTACCTTGCTCACACGGTTGAAATCATACTGGTTAAGAGTAAACTGTGGATACTCTTTAAAATGTGCCTTTCATACATTGTCACCTTTATTCTCTCAATCGTTTCGCTTCAAATACACCTTGAACTAATGATTCTCGTCCGCCATCTTGAAAATTGTGACAATTTGGCCTAAGGGGAGACAACTGCAGGCTACAAAACAGCGTTTTCCTATTGCAGTAGAGTAGAGTAGGGTGAATTCTTGCCAAGTAGTACCAGTCCACACGCTGCCAAACAGGCAAAATGGCGCCGATTCGCGAGTACTACTCGAGGAAACCTATTTTGTCAAACGGGGGGATGTTTAACTTTATTAGATGTCGGAAAATATACGGATTTTGAAAATTGAGTTATTTTCCTTTACCGAAACGCCTTTTAACATGGGACAACAAACCAACAACATATAAAATTAAGTCACAACAAGGACAAATTGAACGCTGAATTCAAAGTCTTCAGTCGCGTGTCATAATTAACCAGTTCTAAGCATGTGCAGTTGCCCTTAAAAGGCGGAAATTTACACATTAGTTATGTATCTTTGAATCAAATACACATTCGAGTTTCGCTAAGGCGTTTTAGTGTTCCCCATTTTCAGAAGTAAATAACACTGAGACATTGAATGAGGGTATTATGTTTCATAGATAAGGAATGATTGTCACGATGACAACAATGCTCAACCAGGTGCTTTCTATTATTGCCCTTTACAATCTAGGAAAGTTTCATTCGGTTACGTAAAATGTACATCCAGAAATGGCGATAACCTGTTATAGCCTCGTTTCCGTGCTTCAGTCAGGCCTTAATACACTTGAGCATGCAATTGTCACGTCTATTTGTTTCACGCTGTGATCTCGTTAGTCTTATTATGATTGTTCTATCCTGTTAGATTTGTATTTTATGCCTTATCTAAGTAGGACGTATTCTTAACTGTCGCTTTTCAGTTCGAACCTACTACTACTACATCTATTTGGACGACTACTACTAGTACTCCTATTCGTATCTGCTACCACTACTAGCGATTTACTGGTTTTCGCTACTTCTTCAGTCGCTACCTGTTGTGAACTAGATCTATGGACTTGATCTGTCATTAAATAGTTTGAATGTACCAAGTGGAGTTCGAGTATCTCGCACCGCGCTACCCCAGGCCTGTAGTTGTTTAAGATTTGAGTAAGCAGCAACCTCTAGAATCTTTACAATTACAACATAAAAGTGTGACTTAAATTTGAATAAATTGAATAATAATGCCTTAACCCCTAGAAAAGGAATTTTACTGATCGCCAAAAATTGTTCAAATTGTCAGCTGAGAAAATAATTGCTGGGAATTATTCGGATAACAAACTAATAGGTTAACTGTTTAATAGATGATAAATCGTCGAAAATTTGTAAAAACTATTTAACATTTTTTTTTTCTTTTTGACATGGACAACACACAAGCTCTTTTTCATGCAAAGCAGAACCTTTGCATATGAATAGATTCCGGGAAGAAAATCAAATGGAACGGACATTCCTAGCAGTAAATTTTCGAAATGTTACCTTCGAGGTTGTCCACTATTCCTAAAATTCCAGAAAATGCTGTTCCACTCCCCACTGCAAAAAAATGTCCTGAAATGCAAACCGGAATTGTCCATTTTTGTGATAAAATTTGTTGTTTCCACAGTTTTTTTTTTTTCTTTTTTTTTCAAGGTTTTGGTCATTAAGGTCGAGAGAAAATTAAGTCAGAAATATCTATGGCAAATAATATGTACTTATTGACTGAGTGGTAGGGCCGGACAGGACAATATTTTGATCGAGGTACGTCAGGATGTACGGACCGAGTGCAGAAAAACCCAGTGAAACACTGGAGCGAAGCCTGTTTTCACCAGAGCTGGATTAATTACATCAAAATCTAAAGTTTGATTCAATGCGAAACGTTAGTGAAAGATTTAATCTAATCAACAAATCTCGAATTTGCAAGAAAATGCCCGCAAAAGACCTTAAGACAGTCCTAAGTGTCCCAGATGCCTCGACCACCTCGCTAGCAAGAAGACTGGTCCGTCAATCCACTTGACATGCGCCTCTCAAGCATTGTTCAACAACTGAGCAAAGTCCCCGCGACACAGTCAAAATCATGACAACCTCCTTTCTTTCTTGCCTTTGACAGCAAGCCGCCTGCAAACGCATGATTTCACTATTTAAATTAAAACACGCCAATGTGGTCACGTGCATAGGGTTTGAAACCCTGGAGAACATTGAACCAAGGCCTTTGTACCTGAGTTGATAACATGTCAAACTCTAGAGTCTGATTTCATGTCAAACCTTAGAAAAGGATTTATCCTACTTTAAATCTGAGCGATTTCGCAAAAACATCCCCGCTAGGTTTTCGCCTGGATTCGGGCGCAACCTTGTTTGAGGCTTCTGTGTTGACATGGCACCCTGCTGGAGTGGTCCATGCCACGTGCATGCGTGACGGGGCCATTCTCCTAGCCAGTGGGGTGGTCAGAGGACTTCTGGCCGGTAGGACTGTCTTTGAGTCAATGCGGGCATGTTTTTGCGAATTTGGTCAGAAATTGCATAATTATCATCACCAAAAGGCAATAACGTAATGTCCAAAACAACTCGAGTAAATTAAATATAAATCAATGTAAAAGGTTCTGGAAGGTTTACGTTCACGAGGGCTTGACGATCTCTTGAACACATTTCTTTAGCCAGTAATTTACAACCAAAACATTCATCTCTATCAAAGCTTATCCAACGGCTGAACTACGGCTACAAAAACCTAGCGTAGAATAAGGTAACGACCTTGATACATCCGGAGTTCCACAGTTCTGAAATAAGTAAATACTTTATGTAAGATAAATACGATGGCAACCAAATATGAAAAATTTCATGGTGTATAAACCTTCTCACCCATCTGTTTTGAGACAGAGGCCACAGTTGTGCAAGGTAGGAGAAAAATGCGTTTTTTTAGTTAACGGCTAAAAATCTGTTCGTAGCTTTAATTGGTTGATATGGAACAGGACCGACAAATTGGTGAGCCATTCCACAGGCATATCAAGTGTAACACACAATTATTTAAGAATGCTGTACTCCTGTCGTAGAGGGGAGCAGAGCTAACAAGGGGAAACTTGAGAAAGACAAACTGAGCAGACAAACAGTGCATGTAGTTAATGTACAAGGACACGGATGAACAACAAAATAACGACACGACACAACAAAATAGTCGATGTAATTTGAATTTTCTCGTCTTATGTAATTGCTTTATAGTATATTTGTGGGTTGGGAGCTGTCTATCAAAGTTATGGCCGAACGTCCTAGGACTTAAATAATAATAAACGCAAACAGTGGTTATTATTTTTAGTGCCTTTAATAATTTGTTAATATTTGCTCATTGTAGTATCAATCCATTGCCTCAAGTAACGGACCCTGGCGTAGACGCCATATTTTCCTGGTGAAGCACATCCACTTCCCCACGATACAACACCCTCGAGGAAGAACTTTCCGTTGAATTCACAGACCATGGGTCCACCTGAATCTCCCTGGCACGAATCCCTGCCCCCTTCATCGAGTCCAGCACAGACCATGGAGGCGTGGATTGATGACCCGTAAGCCCTTTTGCATTTACTTTTAGAAACAATGGGAACAGAGACCTGCATGAGGACGCTGGGTGAAGAACCTCCAGAAGACAGTGTTCCAAATCCTGAAAGGAAAAACACCACAATGGCAATCTTTTATTTATGAAAGAGGAAGTGTTAACTTTGAAAAGAATCGAACTTGCATGTTTATGCAGACAAGACGATTTATTCCAAAAAATGTTGCGAAGCCTGCCCCAGTACTACGGCTCTAATCCGCGTTGGTGCATTACTCCGAAGTTCCGCGGCTTGAAATAACTTAAAGTATAAAAACCCCGGATCGCCTATAACCCCTCTTCCCCACTCCACTACTGCCTTTTTGCCAGATAAATAAATAAAGGGGACTGGAGAGGACCAAATTGCGACAAGGAGTGATTCCAACACCCTCCTATTTTCTCTCAAATTTGTTGGTGGTAGACTCCCTCTGCAAGAAATGTCTACAGAATGTAAACAAAGTAGAACGTTATTTTACTACCTACTCTTTACGTTTTGGCCAGTAACTTACTAAAACCCAGATACATTTATTGTTATTTTTTTAATTACAAGCAAACTCTTGTTCATAGGTCGGGAGCTATGATCAATGAGAGTGTAAATGTATACCATGGGAAAGTTTTCAATTGATTGAATTTAATAAACACTCAAATACAGCCACTCCGGTAACACGAATAGACGTTTTCAGCAGTTTAACGTTTGATTGATTATACCTGTAACCCAACATCTTTTGCCATCCGGGACTCTTCCGCTTGATCCAGGCAAGCAAGCCATTCCGACAGCTCTGTTAATTTGTGCGGGCCTGCGCAGTTTCAACATGGCGATGTCGTGAGCCATGCCGTAGGGTTGTTTGTAGCTGTGATGGGGGATGATCCTTTCAACTTCAAAATCTTGTTCAGTTCCTATGTTGCCCATACGTTTGTGAGCTCCAAGCCTGCAAAATCGAAACCAAAATTATGAAAAAGCCTTTCCTTCCCGTCAATTTAGTCAAAATGTCTCCGTTTTAAATTCATAGAGGGGGTAATATGCCTCATGTAAGTAATTATGATTTTTCAATTATAAGTGAAACAGAATTATAAAGTATGAATGAATCAGAGAAAAAAGGAATTATGTAGAATCGTAGAATTGTCAGAATTGTAGATTTGTTATATTATTGCTGCATATATTTCTGTTTTTCTTAAACTTTTAGCTCGATAAACGACTCCTCAAGCAAACCTATTGCTTTAAATCAAATCGTGTTTAAATGAAAGATTGTTTCTTGTTGTTGTTGTTGTTGTTTACAAAAATACACTAACAATATAATGTACACTAACTGTATGAGCACCTAATACTATTAGTATTGTATTTGAGTGTTTCAAAAGGAAATGATAGGAAATTCTTGAATGGTATGAGAATTATGAATCGTTCCACATTTTTCCTCGTTAAGCTTCAACTTTTTTCGTTCTTACAGTTAACTTTTTTGCATGTAATTATGATTTTTTCTTGAAAATCTAACTGGCCGGGATGAAAAGATCAAGCCTCTTTTTTAAAGTTTGATCTACTCAAATGACTTAATTTTGTCAGTGAAATATCATGTTGGGTTTTCGCTTCGGATAGCTTGCCCATAGGCATACTTTATTCAAGGATACAATTTATCATAATTTAATGCTTAATTTTGTAAAGATTATTCTTGGTGTTGCTGTGTGATCATTGCTTTCACTGACCACCTACTCACCTTACACGGATGCTTGAGGGCGAGTCTTCCGAGATGCAGTGGGCTGCAGTGACAACCCATCGTGGATGTACCAAAGTACCTCCACAGAAAGGGAAACCAGAAGGAGTTCTGATCATTGCTTGCCACGGCCAGGCACCTTGAGGGGCCTGAGTACCACCAACAATTCGCGTGCTGGGTTTGTATCCACAATCCCCTGATCCACCGTTTCCACCGCCGTCACCGCCACCGCCGTTACCGTCGCCGCCGTCACCGCCACCACCGTTACCACCGCCGCCGTCACTGCCACCACCGTTACCGCCACCACCACTGCAGTACTTACAAGTTTTCTGACAGTTCTCCTTCATGTAGTCTACCCAATGTTGCACTTTGCAGTAACTTACATAATCTATGCAGTTTACCGTCTTGTCTTCACAACCTTGAAAAACGAAAAATGGAAGATGAAAGACGTATAGTAGGCATGAGACAGAACCCACGATATGACTTAAATGAAATCAAGGCAACTGATGCCAAGTTCGGACAGAATTGAGACTCATTGTACAGAGCTATCGTAGCATGATTGATGCCCGCCGCGAGAAACCATGTATCTTGAAGTAGTGGACGGAAATACGGTCAATATGGCTCACATCACTTAACAATTCTTAATTCCATTTTTTAACGTGGAAGCGAGAATCGCTTAGCGATCAAATACTGCTCCTTACACTTTTTAGCTGCCGCGGGAAAATTACCAAACAACAAAAATCAACTACATCGTTAATAAAGTAGTGATCCACTAGTAGGTTAAAACAAAACAAAACAAAACAAAACAAACAAACAAACAAAAAAAACAAAACAGTTTGCTACCACCGGTTTTAACAAAGTAAAAGTTTAGAGAATTATTTATCTCCATACTATAAATGATATGGATATTTTAGCCGTTATCTCGGATACGAAGATTACCATGTGAGAGGCTTGCCAAGAGAGCAAGGAGCAACACGCTCAGCATCACTGAGGACTTCATGGTGCGACAGTGAGAGTAACGCAACTTTCTGTGTTATCTCCTTATATCGTGGATGTCATGATATAGGGACTCATCCTGAACAATCACAGAAGGAAGAATTAGTAAACAGAAACTAGTATTGTTAACGCAGTTCAATTCGCGGCGTGAGTACAGAAGGTAGAATTTTAGACCTGCATAAATATTGGAGTTAATATTTCAGACGCAATAAGATTCAATGTTTGTTTCTGTGTATATGGGTTATTGACGAAGTGTTCGGTCAAGACGGCTGGATATTGGCCTTGCTCTTTATTTTTTTTCCGTTTTTATGGACCGGGACGGAGTCGAGGTCCAAAAACTAGCAAAATAAGAACGAGGCCAATATCCAGCCGTCTTGACCGAACAAGCTTGGGCAATAAAGGATTTATTATCTGGCTTTCGGGGAAATTTTTCTTGCGGGACACGGCGGGTAGTCCCGAGCGGGCAAGATAGCTTCATCTTGCCAGCTCGGGTAGCCAATTACAGC